TCCTTATTAAGTTGCATTATACTGGTTTACATGTAAAAACCCCTATTAAGTTCCATTATACTGGTTTACATGTAAAAACCCCTATTAAGTTCCATTATACTGGTTTACATGTAAAAACCCTATTAAGTTGCATTATACTGGTTTACATGAAAAAAACCCTATTATTAAGTTGCATTATACTGGTTTACATGGAAAAATCCCTATTAAGTTGCATAATACTGGTTTACATGGAAAAATCCCCATTAAGTTGCATTATACTGGTTTACATGAAAAAAACCCTATTAAGTTGCATTATACTGGTTTACATGGAAAAATCCCTATTAAGTTGCATTATACTGGTTTACATGGAAAAATCCCTATTAAGTTGCATAATACTGGTTTACATGGAAAAATCCCCATTAAGTTGCATTATACTGGTTTACATGTAAAAAACCCTATTAAGTTGCATTATACTGGTTTACATGGAAAAATCCCTATTAAGTTATATTTGTAGTCAAACTGTATACATATAAAAATATATATTGTCCTTTCTTACCTTTTCATGCTAATATTCTGGGCCAAATCACGTCTAATCCACACATGTGTGCATTCATTTTGTCCGGGAGGGGTCTAGAGAATAATGTTATATCCAGTTGTTTTTTTCTTCAAAGTCATCCTTATAGTAGATATCCACTTGTAACGACACATTTGAGTTTTGAAAGTTGCCCGAACACAAAAATAAAACCGCGTCTTTGCGCACTGTCTGAAGACGCCATTGTTTTTTTTACCCCAGAATCACTGGGTATGTTCGTCTTCCTCTCAGTCTTCCCTTCAAAACAAGCCCATTCCGGACTTTTCAGTGCTATGGTTTGGAAGGTAGAGTAAGTTGAGTAAAACAAGCGCCCTAGCTTTAGCGCTCCAGTCATATAGATATCTGTGCGTCACGACAGCATTGTCTTGACTACCATTGGCCGATTTGGATGTCAATCAAATCATCTTGTAGCCATAATCTCAGGTTTCAGGCGATGTGTCGGACTTCAAGGTTCCTCCCACTGTTCCCGTCATATTTGAATGCGTAAAGAGGAAGACGGAGCCTTTTTTCACGGAGAACACGCGCTATAACTATATAAATAATAGCTTTTCTGCAAACATTTCAATATCTGGAAAAACGCTATTTATAGGCAAGAGTAATAGTCAAAAATTATATAAATGGATTTTTGGTGTAAAAACATTGATAATTTGCATGTAAAACACTTTGGCACAGTTGGCACAAAAATGGACCACTTGTGCCGAATGTGCCCATTAGTTACAAAAAAGCCCCCGCATCAAAATAGTTCCACCTAAAGGTCTGTAAGGTTAAACTTAGCCTTTTTTTTTTTCGAGGAGCCAAGCTGTGTCCTTCCTAACAAACTGTAACATCCACTACAAGGTGTTACCTTTCAAATGAGGCATCATAACACAAATGGAGATGATACAGCTTACAGAAGGGGGTCAGCCACAAGCCGCCAAATCATGAGATTACAGATGCCAAAAAGAGCAATAAAGTCACCACGGGGATAAGCACCTCTGTCTCTGCCTGCCTGTAGAGATCAAAGATCACAACCCTTGCCCTCGCTCACAGACTCCTGCCACCGGACAATCAAAGACTCCCCCGCGGCGCTCTGACGCCCCCTTGTGAACAATGGACACTATCACACCCGGGACGGACAATTGCGAACCGGTACCCCTGGGTCCAGTACTCCAATAATCTGCATTGTGCCCCATATGTGTGTATCAATGTCAAAGTAATGAAATACGGTGTGTGTTTGTACATGTCTTATGATTATTAGCATCAATCCTGTGTGTTTCCTTTACAAACTGTCTGTTGTAAAAGGGGTCTGTCCACAGAGGGCAGGGGCGGCATGGACACGCCCCCTGGGAAGTCTATATGAGCACCCACACGCCATTGTTCTTTCTCTTGCCTTCTCCTGAAATCACTATCGCAACCTCCCTGGCCATCGGCGTCCCGCGGCACGTGTCTCCTACTACGGTCGCGCCAGCACGCATCGGGCCTTCTACTCCGCCAAACATACTCTCCTCTGGTTGGGATTTATGAACTCTTCATCACCAGCCGGCCCTGGCTCTGGACTCTGCGCACGTGACCCATTCCGGACTGAGTGTGCACGCCTGGATCCAAAGTTGGACTGCCGTCGCTGGCTTCATAATTCCCGCCTGCCCGGACAAAGAAACCACGTGGACGACATCGCCTCCACCCTATTCTTCATTCTCATCCTCCACTCCATCCTCATCCCAGTCACCCACTTCCCTCTACGCTCCTTCAAAGTAAGACTGTTCCTTTGTTAAATGTATGATTTGAATGATATGTGTACAACTCCTGCTTTTAATGTGACCAGAAATCCCTTTTCGTTATATTTTTACCCTCATTTTTGTAATTAATAAACTACTTTTCTTTAACTCAACCCCTTCAGAGTCGCGTTGTTAGATCTCGGAATATCACTGGCCGATAAAAGTACTCACTACCTATTAGATTTATAAGACTGACTCGAGGCAAAGTTGGTTTGGATCTGTGCAGTGTGTCATACACTGCTGGTGCCTAAATAAATATAAAGCAGATCCCCCACTCGAATAGGACGGCCAGACTCTGATTTGAAGACTAGCCGCACTATTCTTCTCATAACATAATCTGTAGTATTATTACCCTACTACATATAATTATTACCCTACAGTATTGGTACCCTGTTTGTGAGATCCGCGAATATAGACCAGATTTATCGACTCGTACTCTGTGAATTGACCGGTTAATATACGCTAACTTAGACTGCTGCTCCGCTCAAAGCGCTTCCCCCCACTCCCGCACCCCCTCTGTCCCTGCTACCCCCGTTGCTATAGTGACTTCAACGGCAATCGAGCTCCCCTACGCCCCACGCTTGCGATAAAAGCGTCTCGTGCATGCACCAGACTATTAATTTAGTCTCAAAACCCTGGCTTTGGCACAGGTACTACGCATTCTCTCCAACGTTTTGCCCCGCTTGGCCAGCGGGCAGCGTGAGTCTGTGAAGCCGCTTCCCTCTGAAGAGAAAGCGCAAAACCTTATTCTTATAACTCCACTGTACACCGTGTCCAGAACACGGGTGTACGGATCTACTGTGTCCCTTGGTGACCCAGGTCACACAGGATTTTAACCGAGTATATCTGTGTAAAAGGCTGTAAATGGCAGCTGTTTGAATGTGATGCTATCGTTTTGCTAAAGGCGGCTAACGCTAACTCTGTTCACCACTCTCTCTGCCTGCTAACCTGCTGTTGTATACACACACCAGCACCCTACAGTACATACATACAAACCCCATTCCACCACTGCAAATACGTGCTTGTGCGAACCGTATAACTCGCTCCAGACTTTCGTTGTATAAACTACTGCTAAAACCTCCGCGCTCGGAAGCTAAATGCTAGCTACGCTCCTTTGTTTTAGCATACGGCTAAACTTCCGCCCGGGCCCCGCTAGCCTCAAAGCTAACTCTGACAACGCCGTTGCTCCTACTACTGCTCCCACTATACGCTGCTTCTCTACCGTTAAAACTAGTGCCACTCTGTTTAACCGAACTGCATTCGGTCACCAAAACTCATTGTTTATTGCCTAAACTGCTGCTACAATGTACCGTTGCCGGCAAGCTAAATGCTAGCTACGCTCCTTTGTTTTAGCATACGGCTAACTTCCGGCCCTGGCGCGCTAAAAGCCAGAGCCGCATCCCCACTGCTAATACCATTCTGCTGCACTGTCTACCTGCTGTCTAACAATAACACTACTTACTATACTTCGTACTATCCTATCCCACTCTGATTCTGTGTTCTGACGATCATAAGGCGCCAGCCGTCTCGGCATACTGCTAAACGGGCCGCACCTCTTATTGTCTAAACACAAAATTGCTTTCCGGTCCCGGCACTACTTCCGGGACCACATTGCTGCTGTCTTGACTTTTACCCTGCACTACGTCTCATGATCAAGTGATTGGCTGTGGTTGTAACATTAACACTGTTTTGGCTGTTGTCCCTTGCTGTTTCTGTTCCAACTAAAATCTCTACTTTGCCAAACTTGATGTTTGATTGTACTAAACTAATACGCTAATTCCGCCCCTCCTTGCACTAAACTAAAAACTAATAATTTTAATCCTGCCCCTTCTTCTGCATGTCACGCCTAGACCACACTGCTGCCCATGGTGGTAACATTAACACGGTCTAGCTGTTGTTCCATGCTGTTTTGATTGCTCAAACTAATAACCACTCTATGTTTGATTGTACTACACTGAAACGAATCATTTTAATTCCGCCCCCTTCTGCATGTCATATTGTTTTTATTAGAACACATTACTGCTATACGTAACAACAGCTAACACTCTGCTTCTGCTTCTCCTCTTAAGCATAATTGTTAGGCTACATTACTGCGTTGACCAAGTTTCACACTGTAACTCTGCTACTTCTAGCGCATGTTGCTATTAGAACACATTACTGCTATACATAACAAAAGCTAACGCTCTGTTTCTGCTTCTCCTCTTAAACATAATTGTTAAGCTACATTACTGCATTAGCCAAGGTTAATGCTGTAAACCCTGCTCTCCTTCTGCTGCATGTCGCTGGTGATACGCATTCTATGCTTTATTCCTGCTCACTCACTACTGCTAGTTTACAGTAACACATCTGTGTGGTGGTTTAACAAACACTGCACTCCCACACACCCCCGCCCCCTCCTTGCCACCGATAATAACACATTGCTGTGGTAACTAATCCTATTCTGTACTCCTGCTCCTGCATGATGCGCGTTATTGTTGAACCACATCGGCGTGTGATCTGACAGATACTGCACTCCCACCTAGTGGTGAAACTAACACTCTACTATGCCAAACTCTATGTTTGATTGTACTACATCAAAACTAATACTCTATTTCTAACCCTCACTGTCGCTAAAACTGCATTACCTTGCCTCAGCCTGCTGCCTTTTTGCTACTGCTTACTTGAGCTGCGTCTAGAGCTACGCCGCGCCGCGGCCCAAAAGTGCGTCGCAAGCAAGTGCGAGACAAACGCAAGTGCGACAACCAAGTGCACAAACGCAAGTGCGAGACAAACGCAAGTGCGAACAAACGCAAGTGCGAGACAAACGCAAGTGCGAGACCAAACGCAAGTGCGACACGCAAGTGCCAAACGCAAGTGCGAGACAACAACGCAAGGCGAGCCAAACGCAAGTGCGAGACAAACGCAAGTGCGAGACAAACGCAAGTGCGAGACAAACGCAAGTGCGAGACAAACGCAAGTGCGAGACAAACGCAAGTGCGAGACAAACGCAAGTGCGAGACCAAACGCAAGTGCGAGACAAACGCAAGTGCGAGACAACGCAGTGCGAGACAAACGCAAGTGCGAGACAAACGCAAGTGCGAGACAAACGCAAGTGCGAGACAAACGCAAGTGCGAGACAACGCAAGTGCGAGACAAACGCAAGTGCGAGACAAACGCAAGTGCGAGACAAACGCAAGTGCGAGACAAACGCAAGTGCGAGACAAACGCAAGTGCGAGACAAACGCAAAGTGCGAGACAAACGCAAGTGCGAGACAAACGCAAGTGCGAGACAAACGCAAGTGCGAGACAAACGCAAGTGCGAGACAAACGCAAGTGCGAGACAAACGCAAGTGCGAGACAAACGCAAGTGCGAGACAAACGCAAGTGCGAGACCAAACGCAAGTGCGAGACCAAACGCAAGTGCGAGACCAAACGCAGGTGCATCTCACGCTGCGTCTACCGCTGCGGATTAACGCCGCGCCCTAATACTGCTGCTGGCGCCACTGGCGCCACTGCTAACCCTACGTGCGCCAACGCCACTAACCCCAACGCTCTCCGCTGACACACAGGTGAAGAAGTACTAACGCCCGGCCCCTGCCCTAGGCCGCCTACTCGCATACACCGCCACACGGAGAGGACGCTGTAGTCACGGTTTTGACACACACCAAGGTCTACACCACCACACGACCAACAGCTAAACTACCCTCTCTATAGCACTGCTTTCCTCCTTTCCCTCCTCCCACCGTGTCGTACACACACGTTCCAAGTCATACTCGCATACACTCACCCACACAAATATGGAAATCGATGGCGGAAACTCGCCACGACCGAGCAGGCACGACGGTGTCTCAGAAGGACACGGCATAGTGGATAACTTTCTGCGAGACCTCACAGAGAAGTTATTCCCAGGGGGCTACGACACGCTTGAGCACAGCTCACTCTCTGACTTACAAGATGCTACCTCCAGATTAGCATCCGAAGCTACTACGACAAAACTCCAAGGTAAGACCCTAACCCAGTGGCTAGGACGACTGGCCATAATCTCCAGGATAACCTTGCGCGACTCCGAAGCCCAGAAAGCAAGGCTCCAAAACACAGTGAGTGACCTGGAACGACAACTGGCGGAAACTAGGAAATCCGCCGCGACCCGCTTACAACAAATCCCACAGGTAAGTAGGGACCACCAACAGGGACTGACCATGACTCCAAGCGCGACCATGGATCTTGATCGCGCAGCGGAAATCAGGACCGCTATTTCGAACGGAACCAGCCGTGACAGTACCTCCGGCCCACACTCCCCTCGCTCCGACCGCGGCGAACCATCGTCCAACTGTGAACGCAGGAGCGTGGCCGAACTGGTAAGTATCATGACGGGAAAGGACCAAAATCAAGGTCATAGGAACAATACACAACCCAACATTGGACACGTCGACCACTGCGACCCCCACGACGCCCCTCCGGGAACACACATGGACATGCGACACAGACAACATGACTATCCGACCCATGACCCCGGCCCACCTGACGTCCATACGAGACATGTTTCAGACCGCAGCCATTGGGACGAAAGGGCCCGCCCTCAACATAGCGGACAAACCTACAACGACCCCCCTGGCCCACACCTGAACATGCTACATGGACCACACGACTTACGGTGCCCCAAGTCTGGGCCGTCCGCATATGCTGCGACACAATGGCCAGTGACCCGCGATGGGAACGCCGGGGACCTCCCCAAACATGGAGGACAACCCCACGGCGACCCCCCTGACGCACGCCAGGACTTAACCCTAGGCCAACGGGACTACCCGGACTGGGGGGGGACGGCCCCCGACCTCGACAGGTCGGACTTAGCCTCCCTCCGACACGACAACCCCACACTAGAACGCCCCTTCGACGTCACGATCGACACGACGCTCGGAACCCCCGGCCGTGATGAAGAAATAATGCCGATACGCCATGGGCTGTTAGATTCTGCTTCCGATACACTCACTTGTCGGTACTCGTGGTGCCTCGAAGCATGAGGGGGGTAATGTTGGCACACGCCCATGACGCACCTACCGCGAAACAAACAGGTATAAACAACACACGTCAGGCACTACAACAGGTAGAAACAACGGACCGAACGGCGACCGAAATACTAAGGTACGTATCCCCAAACCGGAGTGACGAGAACGTGAAACTCCCCCGGCGCCTGAGGACAAACCAATACAGGACCGACCCGCAGGACCACCCCCAGGTCAAAAACCAGGTATGGTATTACACCTTGGCACACTCCCCAGGACACGCGGGGACCGGCCCCACCAGACTACGCCGGAAATCGCTACCCCGCTGGTCAAGACCATACAGGGTGGGAAACAAACTCTCAACCGCAGTGCACCAAATCGAGGTCACAAAAGGTAGAGAGCCCACCCTCAGATGGGCCCGTTACAGCCAAACCAAACCACACAAACAAAGCCCCATGGGACAAGCAGGGCACACTTCAAAACCCAGTTAGGAACACACCACGTGACCTCAAACACGATTAGTCCAGCACCCACTAACACTCTTCTCGGCTGCACTAATCGACTTCTCTCTTTCTCTGTCCCTGTCTAACCCCTAACAGTTGTTTCACGCCTTGCAGAACATGTGGTCCACTTTCCTTCTCGTGCTGACCTGCATACTGGGCCTCGGCACCCCAGAAATTATTGAGACCGGACCAGCCTCCGGGATCGTTTTAAAGGAACAACCCGGGCTCCTCATCACGGACGTCCGACTCCACACACAGCGAATCTTTGTCAGACTCAATCCTAGTGAAGTCTGCCGCAAGAACCTGCCCTTGAAGGTCACACTCAAAGATTGGGCAGGTGCACGCTGGACCCAGACGGTCGTGGAGCATGCTGAGGCAGACATACAACACATGCTGACGCAACTAGAGAAGTTCACGATCACTAGGACAGAGCTCAGTGACCCTCGCCCCAGACCCAAACGATTTATTGGGGCTCTCCTCGGCGCGGCGTCCGCCCTGGGCACCCTCTTTAGTTTAGGGATGTCCACGGTAAACGCCATCAGCCTATCCTCCCTCAGACGCCACCAACAAGAAATGGCCTCTGAGCTCGAGGATGTCAAAACCAGACTTGACCAACAACAGAACGACGTGGTAACCTTGGGAAAATCCCTAAAAGGAACCATGCTAGTACTTAACACACACGAGGTTGCGATTAAACGCACCTCCGCTGCGGTCAACCAACTCTTAGACGTCCTCCAACTAGACTACGCCCATACTCAGCTGACCACCCAACTGATGGAGGACATGCTACGTCACCTCAGTTCCTCGATCGAAAACCTAGCCATGGGCCGTATCCCGCCATACCTCGTGCCGCTATCGTTAGTTGAGAACATTCTAGCCGTAGCCACACGGGACGCCGTAACCCCCATGCAAGCCCACTTAGCGTACACGCTGGGCGCTGCAGTCCCCATCTATGTTAATCCTCTGGACCGCGAGGTAGCCTTTCTAGTCACCCTACCGATAGTTCCCGGCGACAAAATCTACCGACTAAAAGGGATCACTAACCTAGGGACTTGGAGGGACAATGCCCACGTCAGAGTCCAGACCCCAGACATAGTAGCCTACCACGACAGTAACCCCAATTTATACCTAACGCCAAACCTAAGGATGTGTACCCTCACCAAGGACATCCATTACCTCTGCCCCAGCAAACCTTTCGTCAGGGACAGCACCGATGGCATCTGCGGCCTGAGGCCCATGACTCCAGGGAGTCGATGCCCCGCGACGGTCACCTCTCGGAAACAAATAACCGAAACTAGAGCAGAGATTGTAGGGGCACGCTGGCTAGTGAACACTCCCCTTAGAACGGCGACCCTGACCTATGACAAACACGACACCTCGTCCCGAGTAAGCCTCCCGGACGAAACCTTTTGGGTCGACGTCCCAGCCGACGCTATCCTGCACGTAGGCGACCTGGCATTATACCACCTGTATCCGAACCAGTACGAGGCAGAGGTCGAGATACCAGAGTTCTTTGAGGAAAGGGCCTTGGAACTTCAACCCTCTACCCTAGTCCAAGCCACCTACGAGGGGGCACAAACCGTTGACGTTACGGTCGTAGACAATCTCCTTCAAGAGATTGCCAAGCGACCGACCATCCACCACCAACCAGTAGCCTACTCCTGGGCCGCCCCCGATACAGTCATGGCCATCGCGGTAGGACTCGGGTACGGCCTGGTCGTAGTCATGGCCTTCGTCCTAAATAGACGGGTTAGACGACTCCGCGATAGCTTTAACAGGTGCACGGAGGCAATGACGAGACAGATCCGTAGACGACCAAACCGGGGCGACAGCGCCGTCGAGCGTGGCAATTTGAGTCGGCGTCCCCAGGTCAATGAGTCAGAGTACGAGGACCTCCAAAGTCACCCACTCGAGGCGGTCACCCTTTCTATCACGGAAGGTGAACCAAGGGCCTAAAACACCACTAAGAGTCACCAGCTCAGACCCAACCAACCTACCTCGATACCTAATCAGTCTCCTAGACAATCATGCCTGTCATCCCCATTTATATGCAGGAAATGTCCCTCGTAATTAAAGCCCCACTTGCTACGTCATATATTCGTGTAACCCTCACACTCCCCTTTTAGAACGAGCAAGATGGGAACCCCTCACCATCGAGTGCCTTAACGACGCTCCTACCCGCTGCCAAGGCAGCCACCCTTTTTGATTTTTGAAGTTTCCTATTTTGTATCCTAGTCCCCTAAAGTAGAAACTCCTGCTACTCTCTTGGCTTGGAACTTTGAGTCTTCCAGACCAAGAGACCCAGGAGTCAGGCGCACCGGCCCAAACCTTAGAGTTCACGGCCGGAGCTCACTCCCTAAAACCCCTGATCCCGGTTAGAACTAGCCTGCAGGGCCAGGACTCGCCTTAGAGAAAACCCGGCCTCGACAAACCAAGCCAGAGGCCCGAGACCCAACCGCTACGAGCCTGCCCCAGTTAGGCGCTTGCGAGCTACTGAGTCACATTGAGACGGGAATGTTGTAACATGTCACCACAAATTGTACACTAACACCCGAACAGGCGAGAAGACCGACTGAAGACAACCCCACAGCATATCCGACATGACATGCACCTTGTCGGAAGGTGCATCTCTGCCGTGGGGGGGGTATGTAAGGTTAAACTTAGGACAGGGCCAAGCCTGTCCACTCTGTTTACCATTGACCAAATGGAGAGATACAGCTTCAAAGGAGCCATGGGGTCAGCCACAAGCCGCCATCAATCATGAGGATTACAGATGCCAAAAAGAGCAATAAAGTCACCACGGGGATAAGCACCTCTGTCTCTGCCTGCCTGTAGAGATCAAAGATCACAACCCTGCCCTCGCTCACAGACTCCTGCCACCGGACAATCAAAGACTCCCCCGCGGCGCTCTGACGCCCCCTTGTGAACAATGGACACTATCACACCCGGGACGGACAATTGCGAACCGGTACCCCTGGGTCCAGTACTCCAATAATCTGCATTGTGCCCCATATGTGTGTATCAATGTCAAAGTAATGAAATACGGTGTGTGTTTGTACATGTCTTATGATTATTAGCATCAATCCTGTGTGTTTCCTTTACAAACTGTCTGTTGTAAAAGGGGTCTGTCCACAGAGGGCAGGGGCGGCATGGACACGCCCCCTGGGAAGTCTATATGAGCACCCACACGCCATTGTTCTTTCTCTTGCCTTCTCCTGAAATCACTATTCCAACCTCCCTGGCCATCGGCGTCCCGCGGCACGTGTCTCCTACTACGGTCGCGCCAGCACGCATCGGGCCTTCTACTCCGCCAAACATACTCTCCTCTGGTTGGGATTTATGAACTCTTCATCACCAGCCGGCCCTGGCTCTGGACTCTGCGCACGTGACTCATTCCGGACTGAGTGTGCACGCCTGGATCCAAAGTTGGACTGCCGTCGCTGGCTTCATAATTCCCGCCTGCCCGGACAAAGAAACCACGTGGACGACATCGCCTCCACCCTATTCTTCATTCTCATCCTCCACTCCATCCTCATCCCAGTCACCCACTTCCCTCTACGCTCCTTCAAAGTAAGACTGTTCCTTTGTTAAATGTATGATTTGAATGATATGTGTACAACTCCTGCTTTTAATGTGACCAGAAATCCCTTTTCGTTATATTTTTACCCTCATTTTTGTAATCAATAAACTACTTTTCTTTAACTCAACCCCTTTAGAGTCGCGTTGTTAGATCTCGGAATATCACTGGCCGATAAAAGTACTCACTACCTATTAGATTTATAAGACTGACTCGAGGCAAAGTTGGTTTGGATCTGTGCAGTGTGTCATACACTGCTGGTGCCTAAATAAATATAAAGCAGATCCCCCACTCGAATAGGACGGCCAGACTCTGATTTGAAGACTAGCCGCACTATTCTTCTCATAACATAATCTGTAGTATTATTACACTACATATATATAATTATTACCCTACAGGTATCATAATTCGAGAAGGAGCAGGCGAAATTAGGTGATCCTTAAAGGGTTAAAACAAGTATTGCCAATGGGACAAAGCCAAATTATCTTGTTTTAAATATATACAAGAGATACAAGCAATGTCTTACTTGGAATGAGAAAAGAAAGCAACCGTTCTGGAAATAAGAATCTTGTTTCAAGACAGTCAGAATGTGCTCAAATTAAGATAAAAACCGCTCGATTCAAACCTTTATTACCTCATATTTTATCATTTTTACAGCGTAAGCATCACATGTAGCCCTCCCAGTTTGAACCACACTCACAGTTGTTTCTCCGTTGTTTCAATGCTGTTTCTTTTAACCTCAAACATATTCTCTGTGGCTTTTCCTCGTTTTACAATTAAATGTAGCCTGAAGGTATAGGGTTCTGCTCCGCTTCACACACGTCAAACTCCACTAAACTCACTCCCAGCCAGGTCTGTGATCCCAGGATACTCAACAAAATTTCTACATGTCAGTCTTTATTCTGCTGTTTGTAAAGGAAGAGATAACTGCCACACAGATCGTTCAACACACAAGGAATGGCTTCATTTATTTGTATAGCACAGCGTCACACAACACATATCACACAATGCAATACAATCATACATAATCACAGTGCATTAAGAAGAGTGGAGATAAAATCCTTCAGTTTTCAGTAAATAAGCCTGTCTCACATTTTCATTTACAGGAAGACTGTTCCAGATTTTAGTTGCATAAATCTGAAACACTGGTGCCCCATGTTTAGTTCTGACTCTAGAACCAGCGGGAGGCAAGTCCCTGTGCTCTTCATTGTCTAGCATTCACTGGGAGGAAGCAGAATCAAATAACTGATATATTTCTACTTCAAGGCAGCTCTCAAGATTTAGTTTCTCAGCTTCTTGGAATCAGCTGTGTGTGACATAGATAGATAATGGCAACAATGATTGAATGAAAGTTGAATTATGATGTAAATGTTTTATGAAATTCTGGGTTATCTGGCATTGCAAGCCTTGCTTATACTGTATTTTTTAACTTTTGTGTTGGGGATTGCCACTGTGCAGAGTGGACCCAAGGAAGACCACTGACCGCTTGATGCTAACGAGGATCGAAATATATAAATAACTAAGAATAGAAGTATACTGAGACTAGAGTGGTCTGTATACTGAGACTGAGACTGAGACTAGAGTGGTCTGTATGTATACTGAGACTGAGACTGAGACTAGAGTGGTCTGTATGTATACTGAGACTGAGACTGAGACTAGAGTGGTCTGTATACTGAGACTGAGACTGAGACTAGAGTGGTCTGTATGTATACTGAGACTGAGACTGAGACTAGAGTGGTCTGTATACTGAGACTGAGACTGGGACTAGAGTGGTCTGTATACTGAGACTGAGACTGGGACTAGAGAGGTCTGTATGTATACTGAGACTGAGACTAGAGAGGTCTGTATGTATACTGAGACTGAGACTGAGACTAGAGTGGTCTGTATGTATACTGAGACTGAGACTGAGACTAGAGTGGTCTGTATACTGAGACTGAGACTGAGACTAGAGTGGTCTGTATGTATACTGAGACTGAGACTGAGACTAGAGTGGTCTGTATACTGAGACTGAGACTGGGACTAGAGTGGTCTGTATACTGAGACTGAGACTGGGACTAGAGAGGTCTGTATGTATACTGAAACTGAGACTAGAGAGGTCTGTATGTATACTGAGACTGGGACTAGAGAGGTCTGTATGTATACTGAGACTGAGACTAGAGAGGTCTGTATGTATACTGAGACTGGGACTAGAGAGGTCTGTATGTATACTGAGACTGAGACTAGAGAGGTCTGTATGTATACTGAGACTGGGACTAGAGAGGTCTGTATGTATACTGAGACTGAGACTAGAGAGGTCTGTATGTATACTGAGACTGAGACTAGAGAGGTCTGTATGTATACTGAGACTCATGTTAATATCATGCCTTTCATCTTCCCGTAGGTGGCGCTGTACAATCCCGAGCCAGAAGGAAGCCACAGTCCGGCCAGTATGGGAGGCAGCCTCAGCAACAGCCTATCAGAGCAGAGCATGTCCTCAGTCACAATCAACAACATCAACAACATCAATAATCTCAATAATCTGAACAACATGTCGACGGCGGGAGGCAGTGGGAGCAGCGCACACGGCTACACTCCGGTAAAATCACATAAATTATTATCATTGTATAAACTGCTTTTATTTGGGAATGTCATTACACTTTATGTGGAAACGTGTATTAAAAGTAAAAAATAAGTACAATGTTTTGGATTCTTTGACGATAGATCAGGGAATCAATCAGGAAATGTAATAATAACTAATTTTTTGGAAGACCAATGTCCACAAATGTCCTGGATTATCACTGTCTTTTCTCCACAGAAGGGCACCATAATGTACACACTGTATAACAAATGTAAAACTGTAACATACAAGACACATATTTTAATGTAAATTGAGTGAGTGAATCTAGTGAGTGACTCTAGCCGTGTGTATCTGGGAACCGTCAGTTCATTTTCTCGTAGGAGAGGTGTGTGGTATAATTGTCTCTAGTCATATATTGGGCGCTACATATCTGAGTCTAGCGTATGCATCAATCATATCAATTCTACATTGTCACGAATGTTGCACAACAGAAGCGCGAGAAGAAGGGAAGAAACAACAATCTTCTGTTTTTCCAATAATGTGTCATCACAGTCTGTTCTTCTCTGTGGTTGGTCCCAAATCCAGGCTGTTGTGCAGTTTGGAACACAGCAGCACGGGGATTCCTTGTGAGTTAATTAAATCACCATAACATACACAGGCCTGACAATCATGACAAAGAAGTTTGAATTTACCTGTGATAAAATGAGCAGACTTTGCTTTGAGCCTTTTGTTTGGGTCAGGACGGAAGCCCTCCCTGTGAATTCTCATCAGACGTCTCTCGTGAGAAAGTCTTCAGTCCTTTATAAATCACTTTTGAAACGGCAATGGATGGATGGGAATATCCATTTATCCATTTTCTTCCTCTTAATCTGATACCCCTGCAGGTGATATTTCAGAGGGGGCTTCAGGCAAAGTGGGGTTAAGTGGCCCCAAGAACACAATGACATCAGTGGGAGCAGGTGGAGAAAGGTCTCGTGGTGGGCTCGAACCCATGACCTTCAGGCTCAAAGCAAAGGCCAATTCTCTACCAACTGAGCAACTGTCCCAGAGAAGGCAAAATATTTCCTCTTATTTGTTGTGATTAGAGACCAGAAGTATTTTAGCAGATTGTTCTAAATGTTGTTGATGGATGATAGGTTTAATTGACTAATGAGAAAGTAGAACAAGAGGATGCTCCTCAACAGAGTTTGCTGCATTCGTTTCAGCACAAAGTGAATGAGGTAAAATAAAATGGGAAAGGGGGACATGTTTGCTATCTTTGATTCACCAACACAGATCATAAAATCAAACACATTGAGCCACTGGTCTGTAAGGGGCAGATGACCAATGTCCACAAATGTAAATCAATGTCTTTAAATATCCAGGATCCTCCTAACTGTCCATCAGTAAACATGTGCACTTTATTGTTAATGACTTCAAAAAATTATGTATTTTTTATGTTTGTATTAATTATGTATTTGTATTAGATGGATCGATAGATGGACACTTTAGGAGAAAGTGTCTATCTATCTATCTATCTAGACCCTCAAAGAGGAACAATTCAAAAACCCAATGGGAAAAAGTGAGAGACCTTAGGGAGAGCCTTGTATAGAGAGGAATCCAATCCCCCATACAGGCTTCATGAGCACAAAATGATAAAGATGTACACAATGTTATTGATTACTTTAGTTTCTAGATTTGCTGAAGAAGCCTCGCTTTCCTTTAGCCGTGGGTCTCCAAGATCGTCAGTCTGGCTCTGAGAGAACAGCTCAGTCCAGCTCATATTTTTAATCAACTGCTTGCTTTGATTAGCAGCCTTTAACAGCCTCGCATAAACCAGTTTTACGGTTGGCTCTGAAGCAGAAAAATTACACCACAGATCGTCATTATTTTCCCTTCAAACAGCTGCTTTTTCCTTTACGGCCTCTTCCTTCTCCATTCACTGCTGCACCTGCTCCTGCAAAGGTCACCGCAATCTCAGCTCGTTAACCTCCGCGTCTGGCCGCCATCTTGTCTCTCCCTCCTCAGCGCCTCCACTTGAGGCTCTGTGTCATCTCTTTAAAGAAGAGTCTGGGTCAGGTCGAGACGGGTTTGGGGTTAGTGGAGCCTCTTTACCTGGTGACACGGCTTCCTCTGTGATTTTAGGTGCATATTGCATTTTTCTTGTAAGCAATTAACCTTAATGTTCCCTCATGCTAATCGAAGGCACGCAGACGGTGTCGTTTTTCCCCCAGAGCTGTTGTGCCAACGACATTTGCCAACCTGTCCCAAAACCCTGACCTTAACCAGAATACCTGGACACCGATGTAAAGAGACGGTTTGGCATTTTGGGCTGAGGCTGTATTTTCATGGTGGTGCAATAGGGAATCACAATAATTTAGCTGTAGACTAGATAGACAGATAGAGAGATAGATAGATAGAGAGTGAGAGAGAGAGATTTTCTATTTCCATCCATCCATATTTCCTTTTATAATTAACTTTTTAACTTTTGGGTTTTCTCTGAGTTTACTCTGCTAATTACATTTGCATATTTCATCCAGAAGGTGGCGCTTGTAGTGGTGATTTGTTTTTGTGCATTAATGAAACAGGATGTTAGATTTGCAATGGCTTCATCACAACTAGTTCTAAACATTGGATAGCACTCCAATGGTCTAATGGTCCTGAGCTCGAACCGCGGTCGGAACAGAGCCTTTCTGAGTGGAGCTTGCATGTTCTCCCTGTGTCTGCGTAGGTTTCCTCCGGGTGCTCTGGTTTCCCCTACCACTAGAAACAAGCACAATAGGTATGAATGTAGCGAGTGAGTGAATGGATGGTGTTTGGTCGGAGGCTTTGATGTGCCAGTGTGTTCGGCGACTCGCTTCCATCATCACCGTGTGTGGAGAGAATGGAAAAACTATCTGAACTCTGAACATTATAAGGCGTGATCTTGGTTTGTAAACTGCGGTATATAAATAAACATTACTTACATTACTTACTTACATAATTATTAATATCTGTCTATCTATCTCCCACTGTTCCTTTAAATGGGCCTCGGAAAACCCATATTGGTCGAGCTGTTATAAAAACACAGAGACTGTGACTGTATCTCTGTGTTTTAAGGCCAGAAACGACTCTCTATATCTTTTTAATTGCTTCAAACTAAAATCATTTGAATAATTCGACTCTGCGTTTACTCACGCAGTAACAGCAGTGATAGCATCTGTAGTAAATATATGAAACTGTGGATACTTCCCGGTCAGTAAGATAGTGAGATATGGCCTTTTGTTTGTGCATATGCTGTCAGTGACATGGTGGATGTTTGGACATTCTGAACACTCTAAATTGCTGTGTTTTCTCTCTGAGAGGAATGTGACAAGATGATTGAGGCTGCAGGGAGACAGCGCTCGCTATATGACAAATCTTAAGTACTTTATAAGGCTTTCAAGTTTCATTTTCAGATAGCTATTTCTGAGAGCTTGTCTAGGGTACTCTAGCTGCTTCACATTTAGTGTAAGTGAATTATAAGGAAACGGTTAGTCACCCAGAGATCTGTTCTTCTTCTGATTATAGATGGGTAAAGTTGTCAAGATATAAAATCATTTCAGACCAAATTCAAGTGTTTAGAACGATGGATTGTAACATTTCAATTCAATGTGTTTGTGTATAGCACTAAATAACAACAGCAATTGTCTCGGAGGACTCTGCAAAGTTGTCAAATCAGAGACTTAAACAGTTTGAAAACCGTAAATGCAATAATACCAACAACATAGAAGCCATTGGTCCTTTGGGTGCGGGATTACCAATGACTATAGTATATATGTCAATAATCGTCCATAAATGTCCTGGATCATAACGGTCCTCAGACCTGGGGTGTAACATCAGGTCTCCAGGTTCAGACTGGATTCACTTGAAGGAATGGGTGGAGTCTGGTGTCCTCCTGCTTGGTTGGAAAACCTGCAGCCACTTTGGCCCTTTGAGGACCAGTTTAACACCCCTGCTCTAGACCCTCCTGCGCCAATGAGGAGCCTCTAAGAAAAACAAAAAACAGTGGGAAAAATATAGACAACATAGTTCAAATACAGGAAAGGGAATGATGATACTATAGAAAATAAAACACTTAGAGCCTTTTGTCCATAAGGGGCAGGTGACCAATGTCCATGAATTTTGTCTCCTGGATATCACCACTGTTCTTAGACTCTCCTGGGACCTTGATCTGTCAAAAGCGCTATACATAAAGTTTACTCACTTACCATGGACTGTCTGTAGAGGAGGACCATATGAGTTTAGAGACTGCAGTAAGAGAGCAGGCACAATCCAAGACACTGGTTGTAAAGGGAATGGGCTGCAGCCTTTTATTAAGTGTCTGTGAATAAATAATGTAAGATTTTGCTGCTATGTGTGTGTGGTATTCTCAGACTTCCTCTGTCCCGCAGGTGAGCAGCCACTCAGACCCCCCACAGGCTCCTCCCTCGACCTCCCAGGCTCAGTACGGTCTTCCTGGGCTCCCGGTCTCAGACTCCGCCAGGGACAAGGCACTCTGCTTCTCCGACTTCGAGGACCTCAGCGCCTCTTTCCGCAGCCTCTACAAGTGTGTGTTTGAGCAGTCCTTCTCTCAACAAGGTGGGAACTCTAGATGTATTGCTCCGTAACGTTCATACGGTCAGAGACTGGGGTCATGTCGATGTAATACCGCATCCTTCCACAATCGTAAAAGTCGAATGTGATCAGTGGGTTTTGAATTGTTTTGACAGAGAGCAGAGAGGAGAGAGCAGAGAGGAGGGAGCAGAGAGGAGGGAGCAGAGAGGAGGGAGCAGAGAGGAGAGAGCAGGGAGGAGAGAGCAGAGAGGAGAGAGCAGGGAGGAGAGAGCAGAGAGGAGAGAGGAGGGAGGAGAGAGCAGAGAGGAGAGAGCAGGGAGGAGAGAGCAGAGAGGAGAGAGAAGAGAGGAGAGAGCAGAGAAGAGGGAGCAGAGAGGAGGGAGCAGAGAGGAGAGAGCAGAGAGGAGAGAGCAGAGAGGAGGGAGCAGAGAGGAGAGAGAAGAGAGGAGAGAGCAGGGAGGATAGAGCAGAGAGGAGACAGAAGAGAGGAGAGAGCAGAGAGGAGGGAGCAGAGAGGAGGGAGCAGAGAGGAGGGAGCAGAGAGGAGAGAGCAGAGAGGAGAGAGCAGAGAGGAGAGAGCAGAGAGGAGAGAGCAGAGAGGAGGGAGCAGAGAGGAGAGAGCAGAGAGGAGGGAGCAGAGAGGAGGGAGCAGTGAGGAGAGAGCAGAGAGGAGAGAGAAGAGAGGAGAGAGCAGAGAAGAGGGAGCAGAGAGGAGGGAGCAGAGAGGAGAGAGCAGAGAGGAGAGAGCAGAGAGGAGAGAGAAGAGAGGAGAGAGCAGGGAGGATAGAGCAGAGAGGAGACAGCAGAGAGGAGAGAGCAGAGAGGAGGGAGCAGAGAGGAGGGAGCAGAGAGGAGAGAGAAGAGAGGAGAGAGCAGGGAGGAGAGAGCAGAGAGGAGGGAGCAGAGAGGAGGGAGCAGAGAGGAGGGAGCAGAGAGGAGGGAGCAGAGAGGAGAGAGCAGAGAGCAGAGAGGAGGGAGCAGTGAGGAGTTAGCAGAGAGGAGAGATCAGAGAGGAGGGAGCAGAGAGGAGAGGAGAAAACAGAGAGAAGACAAGAGAGAATAGAGAAGCAAGAGGGAGACAGCAGAGATCAGAAAGATAGATAGATGATAGATAGATACTTTATTGATCCCCATAGGAGAAATTCTGGTGTCCTGGAGGAAATACCCATCCATTCTCTCAAATATGAATAAATACATAATTCTAAAAGTTATGTATGATGAATGGAAGTCTAAGGAGCTTTCTGGACCATGAGGACCGAGCCTTCTGAACTCTTTGGAACTCACTCCTCCAAACCATCAGAAACTCAGACTCTTCCTGGTTCTGGTCAGGACTCGAGCTGCATCAGTTGAATCTACCGCAGCTGTTTTACATCTAGTTACTTTTGTTATATTTAAGAGCCAAAATGAACAGCGATATTTCCTTTAACCTTTACAACCCGCCTCCCGTGTCATGTACAGCGACAGTGACAAGCCATCGCCACCGCTGCCGTCGTGCTATCGGGCCCCGCAAACATAATTAACTGTCAAACTTAAGCTCTAAATGAAACGCAGCTCACACAAACTCTTCGTCTGTCATTGCAGTAAAAAAAGAAAACCAAAAAAAACAAACCTGCTGGCTTCTCTCACCTTCACAATGCACAACTCACACTCCCATTGTCTTTGAATAAACAAACTATATCGGCTGCTTCGGGTATCTGCTCTTTACGGCTCGCTCAGTCAATTAAGAAGACGAACACGCACGCATGCACACACACACACACAAACACTTGCACACACACACATAAAAAAAAACCTACAAGCGTTGCATTGGGGTCTGAGGTTTTGATAGCAGCTAATTAGATTGGGTTGAAACTTTGTGAAGCAGCGCGCTAATTGCTTTGAGGTCAGCAGGCTCCCTCCCACCAGGAACCCCCCTCTCCTCCCCCTCCTCACCCGTCCCTCCTTGGTCTCGCCGTTAGTTCCTGCATGTTCGTACATCGCCGCCACACAGGCGCAGAGAGGTGTGTGCGGCGACTGACATAAGGCGGAGGAGGAAGAGAATGCATCAGACAAATTGTTGATAGTGAGAGGAATATGGATTGAAAGGGTGGTAATAGATAGAGGTATGTAACAAAAGCCAATTAGATGCTGCTGCTGCTGCTGCTGCTGTTGCTGCTGCTGCTGCTACTGCTGCTGCACGTCAGATGATTGATTGAAGAAATGTTATGTGTAATGTATTTTTGACCCTTAAACATGATCTTGATGTGGAGTCAATAATTGTGTGTCCTGTTGATTACCCCCACAAAGATGGCTTTTCTCCCGAGGGCAAATCTTGTTTTATGAAGTGACTTAACTTAAGAGAAAACCCACTCAATTCACGGCATCTTTACCTCATGTTTTATAATTTTTTGCAGTGTATCTATCTTTTGGATCAATAAAGAATATATCTATCTATCATCTGGACCTCATACACTGCAAGAAATTATGAATTATGTGGTAATAGTTGCTTGAATCGTGTGTTTTTTTATTTGAGTACATTCTGACTGTGTACTAAAGCCATTTAGTTTTATTTCAAAAATTGCTGCTGAATTTTTTCCTTCCAAGGGAGACATTTCTTGTATCTTTGTAAAACAAGTTTGCAAATCTTGTTTTAAGGCAGTCAAAATGTGCTCAAATTAAGATACATTTTGCCAAACTTTTGACCTTTTTTTCTTCCTATTTTGCATCACTTGTTGCACTGTATCTATCTCTCATCTTTGAACCACTCAGTTCCCTGTGATACTTGACTGTTCGCTCATTCCGGGTCTTTCCCCTGGCTGCAGGTTTGATGAGTCTCCCCTCGGACTCGGGGCCTCAGTCCAGGACGTCCTGCTCGTACCAGGCCTCTCACTTGCAGATCCCCTCAGTCCCAGCACCGCACCACCATCAGCACCTGCAGCAGCTGTCCCACCAGAGCCACGGCACGCAGCCCTGCTCCAGCGCCGGTGAGCTGTCCCCCCAATGCGCTTTATTTATATAGCACAGTTTATTGTCAAGACAGTTTCAAGGCCTGGTTTGGTTCACCTGCACTAAGGCCATTAAACCATTAAAAACAAACATGAGTGGAATGATGTAGTCTTTGTCTGAAGGACTTGTAAAGCCCTGTAAACTCGTCCTCTCTGTTTAATTAACACTAGAGAGTAGTCAATTTGACAGCTTTTTGTTTTGGAAGCAGAATTACTGTACATTTGTGGTTTTCATAACTGTTTTTTTAATATGTGGTCTATACATTGCAAAAATGTATGAGATATAAGTCAAATATTGATCAAATCTGACTAAATGTAGCTTATCTTGAGCACATTCTGACTGCCTTAAAACAAGATTTGCGAATGGGACAAAGCAACATGACCTTACGTTAAAAAGATACAAGAAAAGTCTCCTTTGGAATGAGAAAATAAAGCCATTGCTCTTGCAATAAGACTAAATGGCTTTGTACCATTGGAAAATCTTGTTTTAAGGCAGTCAGAATATACTCAAAAAACACTTCATTTAAGCAATTATTACCTCATATTATATCATTTTTTGCAATGTGGTTCAAACACAAGAAATATAATGTTAAACACACATAGAGCCATTGGTCCATGAAGGGCAGATGACCAATGTCCATAAATGTTGATAAAGTCCACACCAAAAAACAAGGACACAGAAAAGTACTAGTTTAAAACCATCCCATCCCTACAGAATGATAAATAGTAAACATCCCAAATACTTTATTATATACGCTCCAAACAGAGGTCCACGTCTCACATTTTTGTTTATTGTGCTTTTGACAGCATCATATTTTGAACAGATAAGCTCGCCTCTATCCTCTCCCTCCTCCAGCACACCGTCTTATGAAGCACCCCTGGATCTTCTGCAAGCCTTTCCCACCTCGTATTCCCAGACTGACCGAAAATACAGTTTTATTGAGTTTAGAATTCCCCTCAACCTCGGAGTGGATAAATGAAATCCCTCAGTGGCTTTAGGTCTCATTGTTGGTTTGTGTATGAGGAAAAACTGCATGAATTTGAGGCTGGATTCTTATAGAGAGAGGTGATGTTGCTCCCCCTAGTGGCAGCAATAACCACAACAGTAATTTTACTGGGCGTTTAAGTGCAATATTTTAGAAGTCCAGAGAGAGAGACCAGAGGGAGAGACCAGTGAGAGAGACCAGAGAGAGGGACCAGAGAGAGAGACCAGGGAAAGAGAGCAGAGAGAGAGACCAGAGAGAGACAGAGAAAGACCAGGGAGAGAGAACAGAGAGAGAGATCATAAAGTGAGGAGAAGAGGGAGCGACCAAAAGAGAAAGACCAGAGAGAGAGACCAGGGAGAGAGCAGAGGGGGGGAGACGAGGGAGAGAGGCCAGAGAGAGAGAGACCAGAGAGAGATCAGAAAGAGAGACCAGAGAGAGTGAATAAAGAGAAAGACCATAGAGTGCAGGAAAGCACATGAATTTGAGGCTGGATTATTTTAGCAAGAGGTGACATTGCCCCCCCTAGTGGTGGCAATAACCACAACAACAGCTTAAATGCGTTTGAGTTCAATATTGTAGGACAGGGATGGAGGACGGCTTGACAGGATGCTTGTGAAATGTATTAGTCACACAAATCCTCCTTCCTGTTTTTATAGGATCTGTTTAATATGTGATAATATATTAGTCATCTGTGCAAAATCATGGCATGGAAAAAACCAAGAGAAAAAAAGATAGGCTTCATCTTATTGAGAGCTTATTTTGTTTTGTTTGTGAAATAAATAATGTAATTTTCATTTAGCCTTGAGGTTGAGAGCCATGTTACATGACTTGATGAATAGTATTTTTTTCAGCTGACCAGAGAGAGAGAGAGAGACCAGAGAGCGAGACCAGAGAGCGAGACCAGAGAGCGAGACCAGAGAGAGCGAGACCAGAAAGAGCGAGACCAGATAGAGAGACCAGAGAGCGAGACCAGAGAGCGAGACCAGAGAGCGAGACCAGAGAGCGAGACCAGAGAGAGAGACCAGAGAGCAAGACCAGAGAGCGAGACCAGAGAGAGCGAGACCAGATAGAGAGACCAGATAGAGAGACCAGAGAGCGAGACCAGAGAGCGAGACCAGAGAGAGAGACCAGAGAGCGAGACCAGAGAGCGAGACCAGAGAGCGAGACCAGAGAGCGAGACCAGAGAGAGAGACACCTGAGAGAGAGCAGAGAGAGACCAAAGTGAGAAGCCTGAGAGAGACCAGATTGAGAGAACCAGAAAGAGAGAGCAACATTTTCGATTCATTCTCCTACATACAATCTAATCAATGTATTTGTGGTGCGTTGACAACCACCACATCAAACGGATTGTAACCGTGATCCCCTCCTCTCTGTGTTCTCAGACTGGTATCCAAACCTGGACTGGCTCAAAGAGAGCTGCCGCATTGCCACCAGCTACAACTGGGCCGACGTGGATCTCTCGCCATTTCAAGGTAACGCCAAACTGCCAGAAATAACAAGGAGAATCTCAACAGTATACTGTCAGTATACTGTATATGGGCGACAGTAGCTCAGTTCGTAGAGCAGTGGCCTTTGAGCCTGGAGGTTGTGAGTTCGATTCCCACCATGGCACCTGCTCCAATTGCTCCCAATGATGTCTACTGTCGTTGTGTCCCTGGGCAAGACACCCCACGTTGCCTGAAGCCCCCGCTGAAAGACTAAGGCTGTTTCACCACTGACAGAGCAGCCATCTTCCTGCAGAGGATCAGCGAGGGATTGGTGCTATGAGCATTGGGTTGCAGCTCTCATTGCCACCCCCCTGACCCAGAAATGGACAATAAAGGGCTTGAAAATGAATGAATGAATGAATGAATGAATGTCTGCACTGCAAAAATGATGAAAAATTAATCTTAATTTTATCACATTTTAACTGCTATAAAACAAGATTTGACCAAGACTTGAGGAAATGGGTAGAATCTGGTGGGCTCCTGCTTGGTTAGAATTTCTATCTCTGCTGTTCTAGTCTGACAGATACTATGTTTTCACCGCAAAAAATTACAAAATGTGAGGTAGTAAATGCTTGAATCAAGTGTTTTTATTAAATTTTTTATCTTATTCTGAATACACACTGACTGACAACAAGATTTGCCAAATGGTCAAAGTCATTTAGTCTTATTTAAAGAATTGTGAGACATTTGTTGTATCATCAAAAAAAAACATAATTCTGCTTGTCCCATTGGCCTATAAGTAAAAAAAATAATCTCAATTTAAGATAAATTTTGCCAAGTTTTTTTTATTCTTTTTTTGTCACTTTTTGCGGCCTTTCCTTTGTAGGACAGTATAAAAAAATAAACAGTTTGTCTTTTCACCTTGCAAAGCTAACAGCGACTTGATTGTGGCTGATGTGGTCGGCACATTGCGTCTCTCTGTTTCCCCTCTGGGCCTGGAGCTTCATATTACAGCCCTCGCTATAGTAATGGTTCTGGCCTAATAAAAGTCATTATGCAGCATCACACACATCTCCCCTGTCTGTCTCCCTCTTTCCCTCCCTCCCTCTCCCCCTCTCTCCCAAATGTATGATGTGAATAATCCAATTAGGCCTGGCTCACTAACAGCCTCTTATCACGGCCACTGCACAAAGCCACATGGCGGGCTGCTTCCAAATATTTCTGTCTTTTGCTGCTTCCTTTTTCCTCGATGTCTCCTCCCTGCTATTCTCTCTTCTCTACCCTCTCCTCTTCCCTCTCCCATCCCCGCGTTCCTCTCTCCTCCCTTCTCTCCTCTTCTCTCCTCACTCCCTTCCTCTCTCTCCTCTCTCCTCCCCATCTCTATCTCCTCTCTCCCCTATCCTTTCTCCTCTTCTCTCCCCTCTCCTCTCCCTTCTCTCCTCTCTCCTACTTCCCCTCTCCTCTCTTCCTCTTCTCTCTCTCCTATCTCCTCTCTCCCCTCTCCCATCTCCCCTATCCTCACTCCTCTCCTCTCTCCTCTCTCCTCCCTTCTCTCCTCTTCTCTCCTCACTCCCTTCCTCTCTCTCCTCTCTCCTCCCCATCTCTATCTCCTCTCTCCCCTATCCTTTCTCCTCTTCTCTCCCCTCTCCTCTCCCTTCTCTCCTCTCTCTCCTCTCTCCCCTCTCCCATCTCCCCTATCCTCTCCCCTCACTCCTCTCTTCTCTTCACTCCCTTCCTCTCTCCCCCTCTCTCTCTTCTCCCCTCTCCTCTCTCCTCTCTCTTCTTTCCCCCCCCTCTCCTCTCTGCCCTCTCCTCTCCTCCCCTGTCCTCTCCTCCCCTGTCCTCTCCTCTCTCCTTTCTCCTCTCCCCTCTCCCCTCTCTCCTCTCCTCTCCTCTCTCCCCTTTCCTCTCCTCTCTCCCCTCTCCCCTCTCTCCTCTCTCCTCTCCTCTCCTCTCTCCCCTTTCCTCTCCTCTCTCCCCTCTCTCCCCTCCTTTCTCGCATCTCCGTCCCCTCTCCTCTCTCCTCTCCTCTCTCCTCTCCTCTCCCCTGTCCTCTCTCCTCTCCTCTCCCCTGTCCTCTCTCCTCTCTCCTCTCCTCTCTCCTCTCCTCTCTCCTGTCCTCTCTCCTCCCTCCTCTCCTCTCTCCTCACTTCACCTCCCAAACCTGAGGCACCCTCCTTTCCGCCTGGCACGACTCTAAGCAGCAGACCAAACGCAGCTCAAAGAGAAGTGTCCAATTCACCCTCCAGAAAACACATAAACCTCTCGTCTGTGTGAATGGAGCGGAGTGAGAGGGAGCTGCATTCAAAGACCTGTCAGAAACGTGGAAATATTCAACGCTTTAACACAACTGAAAGCTGCAGGTGATTCTGAAGGTCAGCTGAGATGGAAGAAAAATGTCATCTTGTATAAAGCATACATAAATAACACATACAAACTCCTAAAGATTACAACAAGTTACTGGTCACATTGAGGCATACAGATCACAGATCATACACAAGGCAACTCCAAAAAACGAGATACAACCACACATTCAAATCATAAATAATCACATTACATAAAAAGAGCGAAGACACAATTTCTCAGTTGTATGCACAGCTAAAAAAAAACTGTTTTAAACGTGGATTTTAACATTGTCAGAGAAGAAGCCTGTCTCACATTTTCAGGAAGACTGTTCCGTATTTGAGCTGCATAAATCTGAAATGATGCCTCCTCATCTCTAGTCCTGACTCTGGGCACCAGCAGGAGACTATTCCCTGTGCTCTTCAGAGTCCCAGCAGGAGACCAGTCCCTGTGCTCCTCAGTGTCCCAGCAGGAGACATATCATGATGCAATAGTGTACCAGGTTTGAGATAGCAGCTATTATGCAGAAGGGGCGGGGTTGATGCCAATAAGATCTTTATTGTGAGATCAATAAAGTTTATCTTATCTTTCTCGTCCATCGACTCAGGTCTGAAGGAGAGCATGCGTCAGGCCGAGCGCAACAACTGGACGTTAGACGCGGCGCAGATGGCCGACCTCTGCTCGTCCATAAACCAGTTCTTCACCGCGACCGGAGTGATCCCCCCACAGGGCCCCCACCCGCCTCACCCGCCTCACCCTTCAGCCCAGGCTCAGCAGCACAGCGGGGGAGGCATGCACCAGAAGAGCAGCCAGCACAACCAGCACGGACACAACCAGCACATGAGCACAGGTACAAGTCTGACAATAATACGTACAGAGCTTTTCCAATCAGAATCAAAACTCAAAATTGCCTTAAATCACCATCGCAGTCGTCTCGGAGGACTTTACAGATGTGGCGATTCTTCAACAACAGACCAGAGAATGTGGACTAGTCCTCAGGTCCATGGATTTGAGTCTCACAGAACTGACAAAGGGACAACGGGTTAATAGCAATGCACAGTCTACATTTAAATCAAGTCAAACTAGCAGCTGTTTGGGGTCTGATCAGACATGGATTTAACAGATTCATAACAGATGGACGTGTAAGTGTGGGGTGTGTTAGAACAGTCTTGCTATAAAAAAAAACACACAAAAAAAGTTATTCAAAAAAGAACAGTGCTTTAACCCTTAATGTTCACTCCTTGAAGAAATCAATGTCTTTTTTGTGGGGGGTGTACGACTCTAATAATGCAAATAATTAGTTTTGAGGTATTATTATTTTTCATTTTTAGCGTTGATAAGCCTTTACCAATTGATTGAGATGCAGTTTGATGGTTAAAGATGCCCCAAAGATTTCAGTTCCAGGCTATCAGTCGATATAGTGACTCCACCAAATTGTTGAGGAAACCATTAAAAGCTTCTAAAACAGCTGTGAATGAACATAAATGTGTGGTGCAGTAGAATCAGCTCATGACAATTGTGCTTAGGCTCGGAAATAATAAATGTATGCGTAGAAATCACAGTATTCATCCAACGAAATGAATGATGCTCTGACTCACTGATGTCTCTGATGTCTCTGTTGCTTGTGTCTCCACAGGGAGTTTGTACATGGACTCCAGACAGAACATGTCTCTGATGGGACCTCCTGGATACTCGCACCTGTCCCCCATCAACAACACTGCCCCCAGTTTAACAGGTGAACCCAACATGTTCCATGTTCAAGTCTCAGGGCCTGGTCTCACTGAGCGCATGTATCAAAGTTATTCATTCTATTCAATTTATTCTTGTATCGCCTTAAATCACAACAGTAGTTGCAGTCTCTCAGAGGACTTTACACAACCATTGATTCTCCAACACGGATCAGAGAATCAAACAGTTCAAACACAAGAAATGCAATGATAGAAAACACATAGACCCATTGGTCCACACGGGGCAAATGACCTATGTTAATATGTATTGTTACCTATGTATTGTTAATAAAGTCCATACATTAAACAGGCCTGTGGGCCACATCCGGCCCGAAACATGATTTTTAGTGGCCCCAAGCATGATTTAGTCCAGTTATGATTAAATCTAAAAAACAAAAACATTTTCTTTTTAGTAAAATCAACGATAAAATAGTAGCGAAACATAAACTTTTAAGTGTCATGAAAATCAATCAATCAATCAATCAAATTTTATTTATAAAGCGCTTTTCATACAAAAAGTGTAACACAAAGTGCTTTACAGTTTAGTTAAAAACAATCCAACATGCCCAGCCCTAAACCCTCCTCCCCACAGACCCCCCAAAATCACATTTATAATTATATATACAATACACACACCCACACACACACACACACACACACACACACACACACACACACACACACACACACACACACACACACACATACACAAGTATAAAGTCATATCAGGTAAAATAGGTAAAACAATAAAAAGAAATGGGGCTGGGAGCAGATGTAACCGGCTGAAGAAGCGTCATCCAAGGAGCCATCTGCACCAGGAGCAGAGAGCCGGCTGCAGCCACAGGCAACGACACAGGACCCAGAGGAGAGAGGGGCCCCAGACCCCACCAGGCCCACGTCAGACCCCATAGGACCCAGAGGAGAGAGGAGGCCCCAGACCCCCACCGGATCCAAGAGCCAGTCCCCCGAAGCCACAGCAGACCCCAGCTCTCAGTGCAGAGGGCTCCTCCAGAGGAAACACTGGGGACACTAAAACAATACAATAATACAATAGAAAGTAGAACAATAGAATGTGAAAATAAAAAGAAAAATGGCAGCTGCCTACTATAATAACAATAGTAAATGGGTAGATACAATAAATAATTAAAAATAGTAAATAATAAAAATATAATCCGTCTAAAAACATAAATAGATGTACTAAAAAGCAATAATAGATAATAAATACTAATCAAAAGCTGCTCTAAAAAGGTGCGTCTTGAGCCTACTCTTAAAAATATGAACGTTCTCTGCGGCCCTGAGCTCCTCCGGCAGACTGTTCCAGAGACGGGGGCCGTAGTGCTGGAAAGATGCCTCGCCGTGAGTGTGTGTCCTGACTTTGGGGATGGTTAGGAGTCTGCTACCGGAGGAGCGCAGGGGCCGGGAAGGCTCATAGGATAAAAGCAAATCTGAAAGATAAGAAGGCCCAAGACCATTAAGACATTTAAAGACCATTAAAAGAACCTTAAAATCGATCCTGAAACACACGGGGAGCCAATGCAGCGATTTTAAAACCGGTGTAATGTGGTCCCGCCCCCTGGTCTTAGTCAGGACACGTGCGGCCGAGTTTTGAAGTAATTGTAAACCTGAAATGTTCTTTTTGGGAAGACCAGAGAGCAGGGCATTACAGTAGTCAATGCGACTGGTGATAAAAGCATGCATCAGCGTCTCCGTGTTGGCCCGAGAGAGAATGGGGCGGACTCTGGCGATGTTCTTTAAATGATAAAAACCTATTTTTGTGATGTTCTTGATGTGAGGAATAAAAGTCAGCTCAGAGTCAAAGATCACGCCCAGGTTTTTCACTTGTGATGATGGATTAAAAGAGTGTGATTGGAGTTTCGGTAAAAGTTTCTCTCTCTGGGCCTCAGGACCGATGACTAAAACCTCAGTTTTGTCCTGGTTGAGCTGGAGAAAGTTTTCTGCCATCCAGGATTTCAGGTCTAAAATGCAGTTAAAAAGAGCATCCATTGGCCTGGTGTCGTCAGGAGACATGGAGATGTACAGCTGTGTATCATCTGCATAACTGTGGAAGTCAATTCCATGTCTCCTGATGACACCGCCAAGAGGGAGCATGTACAGGTTAAAAAGGACTGGACCTAAAATGGAACCCTGGGGCACACCACATGTGATTTTATGGACCTGAGAGGAGCAGGTATCCAAACTTACCATGAAGGATCTGTCTGTTAAATAAGAAGTGAACCATTTGTGGACAGCACCAGAGAGGCCGAGGTGTTTCAGGCGGGATAAAAGAATGGTGTGGTCTACTGTATCAAAGGCAGCGCTTAGATCCAGTAGAACCAACACGGTCACCTTTTTAGAATCATAATTTAGTCTAAAATCATTTAAAATCTTTAAAAGAGCAGTCTCTGTGCTGTGGTTCACCCTAAATCCTGATTGAAATTTCTCTAAAATTTGCTGCTGATCTAAAAAGGCATTGAGCTGGGTAAAAACAAGTTTTTCTAAAATTTTGCTTAAAAATGGTAAGTTGGATACCGGTCTGTAGTTGTTAAAATCATTAAAATCCAAATTGCTCTTCTTCAGAAGGGGCCTCACCACAGCCGCTTTGAAGGCTGCAGGAAAGACCCCAGTCTGAAGAGAGCAATTCATCAGGTTTAAAAGCTCCTCTCTAAAAGATTCATAAAATGACTTAAAAAATGGAGTGGGGACTGGATCTAAAAGACATGTGGTGGGCCTCACTGAGGAGAAAACTTGAATGAAAAGTGTCAAAATACCTTCATAAGGAAAAAAAAAAATATATATATATAAGAAAAGGTATTACCTTCTATTCTTTCAGGTCCCTAAAATGAGTTTGACAACTCTGCCTTAAATGTCATGGATCATCACCACCTCTGATCCTCCTGCTTCAGCAAAGAGGGTCTATCATTTATTTTCCTGGTCATTAAGTACACTGCAAAAAGTAATGCGAGCACATTCAGCAAAATGATCTTGTTTTAAAAAGATACAAAAAATGTCTCCCTCGGAATAAGAAAACAAAGCCACCGTTCTTGAAATAAGAGGAAATGGCTTTTTCCCATTTGAAAATCTTGTTTTAAGACATTCCATATACTCAGATTAAGATAAAAAAAATAAAAACAGTTCAGTGTGTGCTGTCCATCAACCCTCAGTCTGGGATTCAAACACAAATACATCTGCATAACTTTAAGAAGAACTAGCTTATTGTTGGCCTTTACTTTTGCAGTGTAGCAATATCTTCACTATACTTTTGTCTTGTTAGAAGACCCTTCAAAGCCTTAACTACTGTAGGTTTTAGCGATTTGAGTCTCTGATGTGTGTGTTCCTGCTCCAGGCCTCCACACTCAGCTGAACCAGCCCCAGCCGCTGCCCCTCGGTCCGGGCCACTTCCAGGTCCGACGCATGCTCACCACCGACGACATCCAGGACGACTTCGACTGGGACTCCATCGTCTGAGGCTTTGTCCAGAACAGATTCTAAACCTGCTCTCACCGCGCGAAACCGGACGACAATCCAAGTGGAAGCATTTTAGTTTGAAGACAATAATTGAGATACAAACTAAAAATGTAGCCAGTGTAAAGTATGAAGAGGATTCTGGATGCTGCGTCGTCGTTGACAACAGGGTTAAATTTTGCCTAAATTGTTGTCTGAATATCTGTGAAGTCCTCTAATACATTGGCTACACATATTTTTTTTACTCTTTTTGTTTTTGCAGAAGGAATCTTTGAACAAGTCAAGCTCCTAAAACAAAGATTCTTCACTATTACCTGATTTTTGTCGTTAAAGAGGACATAACATGCAAACAAATCTACTTTTTCAGAGCGTTCGTCCATTCTATAGTTGGTTTCCTGCCGTTTACAAAATGAAATGATGGGTTTTAAAGCTGTTTGCACAATCATGAACAGATTCAGATTTGTTTTAGTTACTGTTGTAAGTAACAGGAGGTCACAAAGTAGGGATTTGCTTTGGCTTATTGTTCAAACAAGTTAAAAAAAAACTATGGAAATGACATGAAAAAGGTTCAATTTGTCGCTGAATCATGTTGACAAGGTAGTGCATCTGGTCTTTCAAAACAACCACAAAGTAGTTCCAGTAAAAACCAGTTAAAAATACATTAATTCATTCAAAAATCTTAACAGAATTCTAACGTTCTTACACATCTGCTGTTCGCTCTCCTGTGTTCTGAGTGCAATAAAAACATTACATTTATCTTGATTTTAGTTCATTCAAAAGCAAAGATAATTACAAAATATACTTGAAAGAAAATTTTTGGATTCGTCTATAGACCTTTCTTGTGAACCGCCCTCTTGGTTCATGTTTTATATCTATAACATCGGAAATTTTTTTCACAAACAAATACAAATTGTCAAGTTTGAGTAGTGGATTTGTGGATCTTGTGGATTACACAGAGAGCACGCTGGAACCTCTCAAACTATTTTACTATTTCAGCATTAGTATAATCCATTTATTTGTTTCGCCCCAATGCTAACAGCTCTAAGTTAGCAGTGTTATATTCACATTTGTATTAAAGCCGTGCTACCTAACTTTGAAACCACAATAAATAACTATATCAATCCATGTCACTAATCCACATGAGGCATTCCTGTGTGGAGTTTGCATGTTCTCCCCGTGTCTGTGTAGGTTTCCTCCGGGTGCTCCACCACTAAAAACATGTACTAGTTTATAATTTGTTAAATTCTCCAAATATTTTTACTTAGCTTGATTTTAACTCGAGAAAGTGACAAACACCAGAGCTGAAGCAAACGGCGGCTCATGAGAAAGGTCAGCTGCGACACTAATAGAATTTTGACACCACAAATAAATGAAAAACTCAAAATCTCAAAAAAAGTGATTTCGTTTTCTATCAATTTTATTAGGTTTTTCCCTCTATCCATCCATCCATTTTCTTCCCCTTAATCCATTTCTGGGTCGGGGGGGTGGCAGTCAGAGCTGCACCCAGTTCACAGAGCACCAGCCTCTCACTGATCCTCCTGCAGGTGGTGAGTCCACAGGAGCTGAGATCTTTCAGTGGGGGCTTTGGGCAAAGTAGGGTTAAGTGTCTTGCCCAAGGACACAACGACAGCAGTCATCAGTGGGAGTCGTGAAGTAGGTCTTACGGTGGGCTCGAACCCACGACCTTCAGCCCCAAAGGCCAATGCTCTACCAACTACTACTACTGTCGCCCTGGTTTTTCCCTCTAGTCAATATTAATCAGTACTACTATAACTTTAAATATAGCGAATATAGTTTGGCGATAGGCTAGCAAATGCTAACAGTGTTGCTATGGTAATTCCAACACCAGCACCTTCAATAAGAATAGTCAAAACGCAGAGCTACTTGCATTTCCAAATTTAAAGATAATTTAACAAAAGTATTGACTCTCTCTGGTCTCTCACTTATCTCTCTCTGGTATTTCTCTAGTCTCTTTCTGGTCTACCTGTTGTATCTCTCTCTTGTCTCTCTCTAGTCTCTCTCTTTGAAAAAACAACTTAAACTGATTACAAACAACAATATAGATATTTAAACTATAATGAGGTGTGGGGGCCACAGAGTCCCACTATTTATCGGACAGAAGCATGTCTTCTTTAACCTTCTCACTCTTATATTGCAATGGTAGCATTCTCTCAGCTCACTCCAAAACTGTTTATTCTATGATTTATGTTAATTGTTGTAGTTATAATTTCACTTATTTACACAGACAAACTCATTAGAAATAAACCCCAAGGCAAATCTAATGCACAAAGCAATTATCTTATTAGATGAGGTACTACAGTAATAACGGGGAGACAGTATTGGCCACGCGTGTCTGTCTGTGGTTGCCTTCTGAATCCTGAAAGACTAGTGATTGGCGCCACCTGTTGTGCTGTAGCGGTACTGCAGTGTTACCGGTGTTATTTTTGTTTTCCCTCATCTCTCAAGGTCACATTGGAGCCTGTACACAAGCTGCCTCTGCTGCTGCTGCTGATGCTGTTTGTGAATTTGAAATGAGAGAAAGAATACTGTAGCACAATTCTGAAACCGTATAAACACCGACAACTGTTTGGCTTATTAGTCCAATTACGATAGCGGATCAAAACAATTGTTCATAGCTACGGCCCAGCATTTTCTAGCAAATCTGTCTTCCTTGTGTGTTTATTTCCCCATGTAAAACAGTAGCATACTCATTACGTATTTATTTATTTCGCTTTTTCATCATAGAGGTTGAACCAGAAAGGCCAAATTTGAGTCACATGGAATCAAACAAACCCAATGTACAATAATTTACAAAAATATGATTATATATTCTGTATTCAAGCTGTTTTAACATATGAAACCTCACAATTGTCAATCATGTCAATAAGGAATTTCAGTGCAACATAGAGAACCATCCCGGCCAATCAGATCTCAGCCCAAAGCGTCAAATAGACTCACAGGGCACTTTATTCAAAATCAAAATTATGTACTCGAAAGAAAGAGCACTGGGAATCACTGTTTGACTGTGTGGGCTGAAAAATCTGATCCGAAAAAAAGCTGCATTTTGTTGTATTAGATTAAAGCTGGGGGACCTAAGTTTCAAACTACATTTACAACAAAGCAATACAAACAAAGAGCTAGCATGTTGCATCGTGTAGCTTATAAAATCTTCTGTTCACCTGGATCTCTGTACCATTGCATTATAGAGATATATGTTTTTCTTCTCATCCAAAGTCACACATTGTACCACTGTTTACACAGAGACCTGTCTGTTATATAATTTGTTTTATTCCATAAGCTTACAGATTCTAAAACTGTGGAATAAGCTTCAACTTCCGGATACTGTTGCGATCGTCGACCTCGGTGGGGAGGAGTCAGTTTTGCGTTGCCTCCTTTTGAAACACAAAGGAAAAGCAGTTTTTTGCACAGATCGTTAGCAAAAAGGAAAAATGGACGCTTTATTTCATGTTTCTAAGGACTAAAATGGTGTCTTTTTACTGTGACTTTTGCGTTCTCTTGTGCCGTGTGTATAGTCCTATCTGGTTTCATTTAGCACAAAAAAGAGAAATACCCTTGTGAAGCTTTGTATTAAACGGGTACAGATTTGAAGGTGCTTGTCAGCTATGTAAAAATACAAAAAAAAACAATGTTGCCATTCAGTAGGGCTGCAAGATTGAGGAGAAAAGAACTCACAATTTTAACCTGCATTTGATCATTGTCAGAGAAGAAGCCTCACAAAATCTGGACCAAAGACTGTTCCAAATTTTAGCTGCAAAAAATATCTGAAACGCTGCCTCCTCATGTTTAGGCCTGACTCTGGGCATCAGCAGGAGGCCAGTACCTGTGCTCCTCAGAGTCTCAGCAGGAGGCCAGTACCTGTGCTCCTCAGAGTCTCAGCAGGAGGCCAGTACCTGTGCTCCTCAGAGTCTCAGCAGGAGGCCAGTTCCTGTGCTCCTCCGAGTCTCAGCAGGAGGCACTAAGATGTCACAGATATACTTTGGTACAAGGCCATGGAGAGACTCGAGAACTGGACTAATGTGATGGTTCTTCCTGGTTCTAGTCTCATTAACACAGTTCATAAAAAGCAAACAATTCAAACATTTTAAAAGTTGTTGATAATAGAAATATTGGCAAAATTATGTTTTCCTGAATGATGCAGCCCTCAGTACTTATATATATATACATATATATATATCTGTGAGTGAGTGTCAGTCCTGTAAATAACCTGTGCTCCTCTGTCATTGAGAAAGTGGGAGTGAGTATTTTGTTCTGAGGCGCGTGTACAGTTGCAGCGGGTGTAAATAACGTGTGCGTCTTCAGTATTCTGTGTTTGAGATTAATGTCTGTTCAGTGTTTTCAGTATTAAAATGTCATGGAGCATTTTTACTGCAAAAAAACCCTCTCTGTCTCTTTATTTTCTTAAACACAGTGGGAGTTATTATGTAGTGTGTGTGTGAGTGTCAGCGTGTGTGCGTATGTGTGAGTGTTGTGTTTGTGTGGTTAGTTGTGGGGCGGCTGCGGCTGTAAAATGCCTAACTTTACCCACATTGGAATCATTCTGGTGTGTGTGTGAATGGTTGGTGGTAGTTGGAGGGGCCAATCGCACATACTGGTTGCCTTGCTTCTCTCAGTGTGCCCCAGGGCAGCTGTGGCTACAGTAGTACTTTATAATCACTGTGTTTGGAGTGAAAGAATAATGCTGTGTGAAGCGCCTTTGAGAGTCTTAATGAGCGCTAATGAAAATTATTATTATATTAATGTGTTGGAGGACATCGGCCTTTGTATAGTGTGAATGTTTTTATTTGCAAATTAGCCTTGGCTAGAAATGTTGTCCCATCAAATAAATAAACCAATAAAGAAAGAGAAAAAATGAAACGAAAATACAAGCTGTAGATGAGATGAATAGACTGTTTTATTCAAACATAAATGATCACAGTACATTAGTAAAAAGACGTCATGAATATACACAGGCATATGGATGGTGTCGGTTGTTTGTTGTGTTGCCCTAATTATCCAGCAGGTGTCGCTCTTGAGCCGCAGACCCGCTCCTCCTCAGGCCGCTGCAGCTGCCACCGAGGCCCCGTGTCCCACTGCGAAAGTCACACAATGTTCCAGCTGCTCCAGGCCCCTGTCCCCGCTTCAAAGAGCTGCCCATTCACAGCATTCATCAGTCTCTCTCACAAACACTCACACTCACACACACTCACACACACTCACACACACACACACACACACACAATCACAAACACACTCACACACACTCACATGGTATGATCTCATGTCACATTCAAACCAACACTACATACACTTAAAAAACAATACTGCATCTGTTTTCATGCATTACAATTTAACGCAAGTTTAGAGACTGAGAAAAAGTTAAAGGGTCTCTCTCTCTGGTCTCTCTCATGCTGGTCCCTCTATGGTCTCTCTATCTTCTCTCTCTTGTCTCTCTCTGTTCTCTGGTATCTCTCGCTCTTCTCCCATGGTCCTTCTCTAGTCTCTCTCTTGTCTCTTTTTTTTCTCTCTCATTTCTCTCTTCTCTCTGTAGTCATTCTCTGGTCTCTCTCTCTGTGGTCTCCCTCTGGTCTCTCTCTCGCTGGTCTCTCTCTGGTCTCTCTCTCTCTGGTCACCCTCTGGTCTCTCTCTGGTCTCTCTCTCTGTGGTCTCGCTCTCTCTCTGGTCTCTCTCTCTCTCTCTGGTCTCTCTCTCTGGTCTCTCTCTCGGGGCAGACGGACAACTACAGGCGAATGAAGGGACACAAAAGCAGACAAATAGACTAAAACAGTCAGTTATAGTCATATTGACGACTCTACAATCTAAACATGTCCCCCTGCCCCTTCTGTTCAAATACTCCTCATTCAAACACGAGTCCTTAGGCTATGGCGTCATCACAGAGCTGTTTCTGCTTTTAAAACAAAAGTAAAGCTTCAGAATGAGTTTAGAGAATATCTCCAGTCGCCATGTTAGATTCAGATCTGGCAGTGGAGTGTAATTACCCACTCCTACCATTAGAGGGGAGTGATGTTGCATTCATTCACCTTTTCTCATTTCTCTTAATCTATTCTTTGACTTAAGCCGAGGGATTTAACTTTCAAACCACAAAACATCTATGTAACTTGTTCCTTTCTGCAAACTCTCTGGTCTCCCTCTGGTCCCTCTCTGGCCTCTCTCTTTGACCTCTCTCTTGTCTCCTTCTTACAAATATTCAGCAACTGAAAATGAGATGAGATGAAGCTGATGTGATAGGGTCTGATTTCTTCAGAAAAACTCACTTTTTTATGAACTAAAACCAGTTAATAACCCAAGTTTAAAGTAACATGTGTTTTTAACTGCATCGTACCATGTTGGATTTCAAGTGTAATTTCCCACCTCTACTAACAGATGGGAGGGGAGTTGCGTTCATGTGATCTCTGCCTGAAATTCATTTGTTTATCCATGTATTATTTTTTTAAAGTTGGAGTAAAAAACCATACAAATCAAAAGGAAATAGTTCAACTCCCTCCATCTTTAGTCTTCACATGTATTTTAGCCTCTGTCACATCTTTAGATCAGCTTTTCTGACAGAAAAGTGAAATAGAGAGGACCACCCTCACTCAGCCAATCAGCTCTCAGGAGTCAAATAGTGACTCACAGGGAACTTTTTTATAAATCTGGGAAAGAGAACATGAGAGAAGACACCATTTCGTGATTCACCTTTACACAACTCTTCTTTTGGGACAAAAAATGTAGACTCCTCATCATGAATTAGATTAAGATTAAGAGATTACAACATCCTTTAAGCGTCCCACAGTGGGGAAATGTCAGTGTTGCATCAGCAGTTACAGAACAGTAGGAACAAGGAGAAAACAGCAGAATTTTTTTTATAAGTTTACACTAAAATATGATACAAATCTCTAACTTTTCTTAATACAGAAGAAAGCATAACAGAAGCAAGAATCAAGTATAAAAACTTTGACTTGCATTACGTTTTATAATTCCTGACTTCCTTTTATGAATCAAAACTGGGCAAAGTTACTTTTTTGTTGTGTTTGATGCTAGTTTAGATCTCTCAGCTTTAACAATCTGCAGAAACTGCCAAAGTAAGTATTCTCCAGCCCATGTTTAGACCAAAATGAACACTAATTATGCATAATACTCAGTCCTGCCCGAGCGGTGCCAGCCCCGGGACCTCCTCCTCCTCCACCACCTCCTCCTCCTCCTCCTCCTCCTCCTCCTCCTCCTCCTCCTCCTCCTCCACCACCTCCTCCTCCTCCTCCTCCTCCCCTTTGAGAACAACCTGCCTGTTGCTTTACAGTCTTGGGCCCATCCCACCAGAGTACCCTCCCTCTCCTCTCTCCCCTCACTCTCTCTTCAGCTCTGCTTGTAACCAGTGCTTGACCCATTCTTCCACAAGCTCTACTTTTTCCCTCACCTCACATCCAATAACCACCGTTTTTTTAGTTTTGCCCAGCTTCCTTCTCCAACCTCAGTACAAGGCAAGACCAGACTTCTCCGTGTCATCTCAATCAAGCCCAACGGGAAATCCTGCATACGTTTACTTTTGTTTTATTATTTATTTGTGTGAGAAAGAGAGAGACAAGATTTTAAAAAGGACAGGATGAAGTTTCAGCTGCTCCTGCTCTTGGCTCTGGCGGCTCCCTTCCTCGGAGTCACATTTGCGAGTGAGTAGTTCATTTATCATGCTGTCAGTGTGGCCCCCAGTACACTGTGTCCACTCCTGCTGCTAACATATGCCCACCAGCACCTCACCCACACCCTCTGCCCACCCTCCCTCTCAAACTCAGACCAAAATCGCATTATTTCATTTAAAAGAAGAAAAAAAACTTGAGAATTGACACATCACTCACACATCCTTTGCTTTTTCTGCATGTCTGGTGGCTTGTTCACTGAGAATTACTTGTGTCAAAATCATCAATTGTTTTTTAATGGAGAATATTCAAGATTATGTCTGAAATTGGTTTGTTTTTGATGGGAAAAAAGGTGAAATAGCAACTTCACATCGATATTACATTGTCAATTTTCGTTTCTAACTTTTGACTTGGAATTTCATAGGCTGATCTTTTGGTTGTTGGTTCAAACAGACTCAAATTTTAGTCAGACTTTTTAAAGATTCAAGTGGCACAGTGTGGGTTTTTTGCAAAACTTTGGTGACTCTTGTCTTTTGACTCACAACACTGATCCAATCCTATAGGCTCAGTTTTTGGCAGCTCACAATCAGCAGTGTCTTGTTAGGAACCTAGAGTGACTTGCCAAATACTGCTCCCAATGTCTTTTTGGATAATTAGTCCCCACCTCCATTCTCCTCTTGGTGCCTATAATGATCGAAATGTTGGTGATAATCATGGGATTTTCATAATATAGATTTATGTTCAAAAACCAGCCCGTGTTTTTAAGTCTGTAGTCCTAAATCATTAATATAGACTGCTTTGTTCAAACGTTTTTACGACTAAACCCTTAAAAGACAATTACCAATGTATTTTATTCTGATATATTAACCCTAACCTATTTTCATGTGAATAAAATACATCTTGTTATGCCATATTTTTGGAATTAGAATCTGCTTTTATTACTACAAATCACAATTGGTATTTCCAGTGAGGTCTTGGTGGATTGACACGCCCTTTTTGAGGTTTCACTTAATGGAGCTGAGAAGTCCCGCCCTCTTCCCAGTCCTCTCTGGTTCTCGGAGAAGAAATCCCACTATCTAATTGCAAAGAGTTGGAAAAATCTGAACATTTAAGTAGATATAACACGAGATGTAGCCCTGCGTATGAATTGTGCTATACAGATAAACTGGCCTTGCTTCTACCTGCGATATAACAATCATCTATAATTATACATTATCTATATATTATACTTTATATTTGTGGCTCATTTTAAAATATTTATATCACAATTCCATATGTTGGGCTAAGAGATAGGCTAGACGCTGATCGCAGATTAAATGAGCAATCAGTAGATATTTTAACTTTGAGAAAAAATGACGGCACAACGTTGCCAAATTGTACACTTCTAAAAGTTAGAACAGTGGGCGTGTCGCTGAGGTGGGGATCAAAAAAACATACAAGAAGTAAAAAAAGGTCATGAACGTTGGTAACAAGACTGCATGCCATGTCCCCTTTAATGAAGAAATATTACGCATTTCTTTTTTAGCCTTTAAAAGAAAAGAAATAGACTAGTTAAGTCATTTCATGTTTTTAAATGTGAAAAAATAGTAAGTCAAAAATATCATGTTAAAACAAGTATGAAGGGAACAAAATGCGCTCTGCCTGTAACTCTCTATTCTGCCACTAGAGGGAGGAGTTGGATTTGTTACCAGCTGCAAACACAGCATTTTAGTGGCTAAAATCTAAAATGCCGTTATTATTTTTGATTTTAATGTATTGTGTGATTTTGTTTCATTAAGCACTTAACCTATAGCCTTGAATAAAAATATCCCAACCTTTAAGGGCGATACTATCACGAGATGGGAACTTTTAGCTAGAAGGGGCGGAGTTTAGCGCGTTTTCAGTTACACATTTGTACAAGAGGTTCCTGAGAGAAAAAACAAGGATGGATTTAAACATTTTGGATGAAGGATTTTGTTTTGGATGAAGGAATACTGAAAAACAAAAGTCAAAATAATATATAATAATAATAATACAACATTTTATTTCTTAGGCACCTTTTTTCTCTGGTCTCTCTTGCCCCTCTCTCTGCTCTTCATCTGGTCTCTTTCTAGTCTCTCCCTGCTCTCACTCTGGTCTCTCTCTCTCAGCCCTCTCTCAGCCCTCTGCTCTCTCTCTGCTCTCTCTCTGCTCTCTCTGGTCTCTCTCTGCTCTCTCTGGTCTCTCTCTGGTCTCTCTCTGCTCTCTCTCTGCTCTCTCTCAGCCCTCTCTCTGCTCTCTCTGCTCTCTCTCAGCCCTCTCTCTGCTCTCTCTCTGCTCTCTCTGGTCTCTCTCTGGTCTCTCTGCTCTCTCTCTGCTCTCTCTCTGGTCTCTCTCTGGTCTCTCTGCTCTCTCTGCTCTCTCTGCTCTCTCTCTGCTCTCTCTCTGCTCTCTCTGGTCTCTCTCTGGTCTCTCTCTGCTCTCTCTGCTCTCTCTCAGCCCTCTCTCTGCTCTCTCTGGTCTCTCTCTGCTCTCTCTCTGCTCTCTCTGGTCTCTCTCTGGTCTCTTTCTGCTCTCTCTCTGCTCTCTCTCTGCTCTCTCTCTGGTCTCTCTCCGCCCTCTCTCTTGTACATATATATAGCTCATAGCATGTCTCCTTTAAATGCACCACTATAGACTCACTCCACTCGAGTATTGAACCTTCTGACCCTCTCTCTCTCACACACACACACACACACACACACACACACACACACACACACACACACACACACACACACACACACACACACACACACACACACACACACACACACACACACACACGCACACTCTTCCAAACTGAACATTATTCTAGCAGCAGACGGTTTCTCGGTTTTTTCCTGCCCTTGTTTCCACACTGTCACGGCTCCAAGTCTGCGTCTGGGCCTGGACTTCCACCGTTCCCCGGCACGAGCGAGAGACGATCCCGGTCCAAAGTGATGTAATGCCACACAACTGCTGCCGCCACCAAATTCTTGGCACGACACAAAAGAGAAGCGCGAGAAATTCCTCTTGGAACAAACCCAAAGATCTCAGAGCAAACAAGAACAGAGGGGAGAGAAGGAGGGATTGAGAGAGACTGTATTTCAAAGTCGTGGGTTTCGAATTTCTTTGCGTGTAAATAATTAGATTTTGGCTTTCTCCGTCTGTTTGCAATCTTCCTGCAATCTGTTCACTCCTTTTTTTTGTGGCATTATTGTGGTCATGACTTTTCTACGCTTCTATTGTGCTCAAGCCTACAAAAATACAGAAACTTCACCCATTTTTAATCTGTCGCAGGAAGCTGTTTAAAACTGGGCTACCTGGAATTCTTTTTAATCTTAATCTGAGTACATTCTGACTCTGTTAAAACAAGATAGGCCTTTAAAACAATATCATTTTTGCCCTATTGGAAAATCTTTTTATAAGACAGTCAAAAAAGGCTCAAGTTGAGATACATTTTGCCAAATTTGTGCTACTTTTGACTTATTCTTCATCACTTTTTGCAGTGCTAATTTTTTTTTTTTCAAGAGGGAGAATCTTGTAAAAGTGAAATAGATTGTGAACGAATGAGACCAAAACAGTCATGTAAATGTTTGCAGACTTGGAAGAGAAGAGGTTACTGAGTGAGGGTGGTCCTCCCTGTTTCATTTTTCTGTTGGAAAAATCTGAAAATGTGGCTCCAATGATACATGATACAATAATACATGCATCCAGTTTATAGGAGATTCAGGACGGTTCAAGGACGGTGATGATCCAGGACAACATTTATGGACTTTAATACTTTTAAATCATGCCATTTCCTGTGTTTTAACTTGATTCTCTGATCTGTGTTGGGGATTCGACTTTTGTGTTTTAAGGTTGTAAAAAAATGTATTGAATTGAAGTGGATTATAAACAACAAACTACAAACCTTTGGCAGATAAAAGTGCCTTATCCATATTATTATTGTTATTATTATGATTATATTTTTTATTTTTTATTTTTCGGATTAACAAACAGATCAAGATTTGCAATTTTAGGCTTTAAAAATGTCTCAAAAGGAACATATATATATTTTGGTAAAGAGTATGCACAAAAACTGTCATACTAAAGTAATCTCTGGTCTCCCTCTGGTCTCCCTCTGGTCTCCCTCTGGTCTCTCTCTGGTCTCCCTCTGGTCTCTCTCTGGTCTCCCTCTGGTCTCTCCCTGGTCTCCCTCTGGTCTCTCCCTGGTCTCCCTCTGGTCTCCCTCTGGTCTCCCTCTGGTCTCTCCCTGGTCTCCCTCTGGTCTCCCTCTGGTCTCCCTCTGGTCTCTCTCTGGTCTCCCTCTGGTCTCTCCCTGGTCTCCCTCTGGTCTCTCCCTGGTCTCCCTCTGGTCTCTCCCTGGTCTCCCTCTGGTCTCCTTCTGGTCTCTCTCTGGTCTCCCTCTGGTCTCTCTCTGGTCTCTCTCTGGTCTCTCTAGCGGTAATAGTGGACCACCCTCACTCAGCCAATCAGCTCTCATCCCAAAGCCTCAAACATTGACTCCCAGGGCTCTTTCGTGCATACAAAACACTTTTAGTTCCAATATTACCACATTCACACTTTGGCCCGTACTAGTCAATCAGAATTTTTATTGTCATTGACACTGCAAGTAAACAGAAGTCACAAAATTGGAATTTGCTTTGGCTCAAGACGCAAGCAAGTTATAAGTTTAAAATAGGCATCCATATATATAATGTTTAATCACAATATTACCTCATTCTCACCCACTCCCACTCAGGCTCATTGTCTTCATTCAGAATCAGAGTGAGAGAGGCGTGGCCAGATCCTCATGTCTGGGCTACTGTACTCCACTGTAAACGTTTAATAATAACCAGACTGTCTATTTTAGAGTGTCTCCAGCCTTTCTCTCTCTTCCTCTTCCTCTCTCTCTTTGTCTCTCTCTCTCTCTCTTTCTCTCTCTCTCTCTGCCAGCCACATGTGTCAGAAGATTTGGCTCCTCCTCTTTGGCATTTACCCATGTTTGGTGGGATATCAAACCCCCTCGACTCTCACTGACCCCCCCCTCCTGACCCCCCCCCCCCCCCCCC